GGGGCGGGGCTGGGGGCGGGGGCGGGCCCGTGGAGTGTCCTCCTTTGGGAGGCACAAAATATGGTAACCCTAGTAATGCCAAACATGTACATGGTAAATACACTTGTAGCTAAATAACACATATTACACATCAAATAAATTTTGTGAAATGCTAAGGATTTAAGGACTTTAACAGAAAATGCTAATTTCAAAGCAAATGGCCATTATGCATAAGGTTGGAGGTCAAAAATCTAAGTGCATTTCTCACTCCCTGTCATCAAAGGAAAAGCCCACATGGGTAGACTGTCAGCTTGTTTTCTGTGAGAAGAAGATATAAATATGGATTCAAAGAAAGATCCTGTATCTCTGGACTGTTTGGATTCTAACAGAGAAGAATAACTGAATGAGAAGACAGAGATCCCCAGAGTTATTCTGGGTAGCCCTGTGTGAAGGGGTGAGCTCCCCACACTAGCCCTGTAAGAGCTGGGTTGGGCAGGATGAACCTAATCAGCTAATTACACTGCAAACAGTGGAGCTTTAGGCTGGAATCAGCTGGTTAGAGAGACTCGCCTGTTCAGGAACTGGTGAGACCTATAAAGGCAGGAAGCTGGCTATGGGCTGGGGCTGTTGGGAAAGGCTGCAGTAAGGCAGGCAGCAGTCATGCCCTGGGAAGAGGGAGGAGTGTTTGGGGGCTGCAGGGATATAGTCTGCAGTTACTCCCTGGAGGTGGATTCTTGAGGCTGGCACAGCCAGAGTGAGGAGAGGAACCAGAGTATAGGAAGCAGTCATAGAATCATAGAAGCTTAGGTTTGGAAGCAACCTCAGGAGGCCATCTAGTCCCACGCCCTGCTCAAAACAGGACCACCCACAACTACATCAGTCCAGGTAAGGAGCAGTGTGGGCAGAGGGAGGAAGCCCAGAACTGCTGAGCAGGCCTGGGTTCCCCTACCAGCCACTGAGGGAGTGGCACCAGGGCAGTGAATGGGAAGACTGCCTAGGCAGTTGATGGCCTGAATCCCATAAGGGGAAACACTGAATGACCTAACTGGAGGGCTAAGTCACAAAGAGGATGCTGCAGGTCCTGGAGGAAGAGGAGCTGCAGACCAGAGTCAGAGTGATGATGTGCAAACTGTGGATGGGGCGTTGGCCTCGAGAGCTAATCCCCAGAAGGACCAGGAGGAGATGCCAGATCAGCAGTGAATGGAGTACCTCATGACACCCTGTAAAAGACTTTTGGGAAACTGACAGTTTATTACATCACTGCCACCATTTGGAGTTACAAACTGATTTGCCTATTATATTTTACCTGCTATAGACTCTCAATAACCCTCTTAGCTAATAAATTATAACTTCTTAGCTAATAAACCTTTAGTTATTTACTATAGAACTGGCTGCCAGCATTATCATTGGAATAATGTCTGGAGTGACTGACTGGTCTCTTGGGACTGGGAGAAACTTGGTGTGGTGTTATATTATGATTAAGTGACATTTTATCACAACTTTCAGTTTGTCTGGGTGGCAAGTTAGGCTGAAGAGCCTAAAGGGACTGTCTGTGACTCCATGGTGAGACTTGTGTAGTGATCCAGGAGTTCATGTTTGTGATTGGCTTGGTGAAATCTAATTATAGAATAGGGGTCTCAAACTCCTGGCCTGCGGACCATCTGTAGCCCAGGAACCTCCCCCCTGCGGCCCATGGAGGAGAGATGGAAGGAGAGACTCAGGCAGACAGGCTGTCCGCAATGTCTGCTGTAGGCACCGCCCCCTTGTAGCTCCCATTGGCTGGGGGACAGGGACAGAGATATCATCATTAGTTGCTGGGCAGAGTCAGCCATGGAGGCAGCATCACCTTTTCCCACAATGAATATAAACAAGTCAAAATACCGAACACAACTATCTGATGCACACCTTGCTGCAATCCTGAAGGTTTCAACTGCTCAGGCAGGGAGGCCAAACATCAACAAACTGACAGAACTGAAGCATTGCCAGGTGTCTGGCAAACACTAAAAACTCTCTGGCAGGTGAAGAATTGTATAAAGTTGTATGACAGCTTTATTATTTCTAAGAAATTCAGAATAAAAAATGTTTTCTTTTCTGAACACCATCTTCAATGACATTATTAGCCCACTGGGCGGATTCAAAGACTGGCACTGGCCCTAAGGCAAATTGAGTTTGAGACCCCTGTTATTGACCAGACTAGCAGTTTGGGTGTCTGCTCTTGTTTTTTTGAGTCTGCCCTGAGATAGTCACTTACGGTGGTGAGCCACTGCAGACAGCATGACAGGAGGTACCAGAACGTTAGAGAAAAGCAGACTTGGTACCAATTTATTTTACAAATAAAGGGAAAGAAAGGCAAATTGGATCCATGTGTCTACAATAAACTCCCAGACATTTAGGGCCTAATTCTACGCTGCTGAAATCAACTGTGAAGCTCCCACTGACACAATGGGAAAAGAAATAGGCCCTTAATATGCTGTAGTTACCCTGCAGTTGGAATGGGCATGAAAAATGATATCAGTGCAGTAACATACAGAGCATGATATAGGGTGTGGTAAACCCAGGACAAACAGCTACGGGGGTGGGGGGTTAGTAATTAGTCCCAGGGGGTTAAAAGGCCTCTCCCAATCCACTGAGGAGAGATAACCATGGGGAAACAAGGTTCAGCTGGAAAAGGGGTTACTAGGAAACTAATTAGGTTCAGTTGTCTTCAACTGCTTGAGACCTTTTTAAACCCTCCCCTGCGTGGAAAGAGGGAGGTGAGAGAGTGAGAGAAGCAGGGAAGCTGCCAGTAGGCTGGGTGCAGCAAAACACTGAACCCTTCCAGGAAGGAAGCTGCACTCCCTCCCCAGAAGGGAAGAAAAACAAGCATAAGGGACTGACTGGGGGAAGGAATAGCCGGACCCTGTGCTACCTGTAAGGATCTGCCTTGCCCAAGCCTGTGTCTCCAAGGCAAAAAGGACTGAGCCTGCTGAGGGGAAGAAAGTACTTTGCTACACATGGTGTCAGGGGTGGGATGTGGTATAGTGAGTGAGGCTCTGTGGCAAGCCATCTCAGGGCAGGGTAAATCACACGCAAAAAATTTTAAAAAAAAAATGGAGGACGTAGTGAAGGCGTTGAGACAGGCCACTGCGGCCCAACAAGAGGCTACCAGGTACAGATAGCGGCCCACGAAGAGTCAGTATGTGTCCAACAGGAGACAAACCAATTGCTGATGAACCAGGCGGCCCAAGATCCAGCCACCCTGAATGAAGTAGTGAACCAGTTGAAAGCCCTGACCATGCTGACGCACGGGCCCCAGGGGACCCGGCCGCTACGCGCAAGCAACTATTTACAGAAAATGACAACAGGCGACGATACAGAGGCATATCTCCTCGCGTTCAAGAGGACAGCCCTGCGGGAGGCCTGGCCCCAAGACCAGTGGGCAGGTATCCTGGCCCCATTTCTGTGCGGGGAGGCCCAGAAAGCCTATTTCAACATGACCACAGAAGCACCTATGG